AAACAGCCATCTTCTAGCTTTAACCTCACGTGACAAGGGAGCTCCCTGGGGTCTCTTTTATAAGGGCACTGATCCCATAAATGACAGCTCTGCCCTCATGACCTAAGCATCTCCCCAAGGCCCCACCTCCAAATACCATCACATTAGGGGGTTAGGATTTCAACATATGAATTTGGGGGGCATTCGGTTTACAGCACCCTCCTTCTGCTCTACCCCCAATGCTAAGGGTCTAATCTCTTCCTCCCAACATGCGCCTCTCCCTGGATCCCCTCATACTACTAACAGCCCAGATCTCTTGAGAACTCGGGTGCCATGCACACCGTGCACAACATCCATTTAGCCTCCCCAAAACCCTAATGGTCAGTACTCCCGTCTTACAGATGGAGGCCTCTGGGCAAGCATGAGTGAGCTGCAAGCTATGAACCCGAGGCCGTGACCACGGAGACCACACTGTGCGGCTTTGTGCCACACTGTAATGTCCCATCCTGTGTCCCAGCCCCCTTAAAGTTCTGCCAGATTTTCGGATCATGGGACAAAAACAGATTGTCACTAAAATGACAGTGACTTGTTCTGGCCTAAAAGATGAGCTCCCCATGTCCAGGTCACATCTTTCTTTTAGCAGGAAATCCCAATTCCATCAGCTGATGGGAAAAAAGCAAAGACATGCCCCAGACTTGAAGACATAAAAACAAGTAGCAACACGCTCCTACAGCTTGGGGACCAGACTAGAGGGAGGGGACCCCAAATCTGAACGCCCCAGGGCCATTCTGCTCCAAAGTGCAGGAAAATTATCAACTGCTTAGAGTACCGCTAGACAGAACATTCTATGGTGCTTTCCTCTATGCACGTTTCACTCTGAGGAATATACAATCAGAAAATAAGCTCAGGTCAAAGGTTTAATTCTTCGAAGGGAAAAAAAAAAAAAAAAAAAGACAGAGAAATGTCTCAGGATTGGCCTGTGGTCTGTTGGAGATGCAGCCCACCTCCCAGAACAGGAGTGAGAGGCTCGCCTGGCCGCGTCCCGTGGGCTCCCAGACGCCGGAGGTTGGAGGCAAGGAGGGAGCAGGTGCCCGGGAGGCCACTGGGCCCCCCTCACCAACCACAGCAGCCCCACTTGATCTGTGAGCCGGGTTTATGTAGCTGGGTCCCACAGATTTGCGGGAGAAAAGGTGAAATTTTAAAAGGAAAACTGGGATCAAATGCAACTCTCCAAAGTACAGAAAGAAAACTGAAGCCCCAGAGGGGCCTGAACGGACTTGTCCAGGGCCACACAGCTGATAAGAGGCCAGACTGGAATTAAAATCCGGTATTTTTTGTGGTAAATCAACGTGTGGCACCTCCTCCTAGCCCTTGGGTCATGCTTGGCGGTCATCACTGACACGCACCACTCTCACGTAAGGCAGCGACGAGCAGAAACCCAGCCGCCGGCCGGCCGGTGGCCCAGCGGAGGCCGAGACGAGGCAAATCAGGAACCAGCGCACGCGCATGTGCCCCAAGACATGAGCGTAGAGGAGGGGTCGCTGGATGCCGCCCGACCCGAGGGCAAGGTTGAAAATGACGCGGGGGAGTAACGTGTGTGAGCTGAGCTGAAGGACGAAGAAGGGGAGCAGGCGGAATACAGGTCACTCGCACTCACTCTGGTGCACGAGGCCCTGCTCACGGGTCACCTGGAGAGGCGCTGGGACAAGCACTCAGGCCCTGCCCGTCACCACAAAGGAGTCTCCCTCTGGGAAGACATGGCCTTTCCAGGTACTGAGCACCTACTGAGGCTGAGCTCGGCCCGCCTGATCTCCTTTCAACCCGCCCTGCAAAGCAAGTGGTATCATCCCATCTCACAGATGAGGTAACTGAGGCTCAGCAAGGTTAGAAGAACTGCCCAGTGTCACACAGCTGATTAACGGGCAGGGCCAGAATTTGAACCAGAGTGTATATGCTCTTTCCACAATCCCCGACTATGAAATGTAAGCAAAAGGAGACTGGAATTCAAGCCGAAGGTCCCAGCCACTGAATCTAGAAGGGTCTTTCCTGCT